ATCATCATCATCATCATCGTTTTTTTAAAACTCTACTAGTATTTGATACAACAATCGTATATATCACCTATCACGATGCATACAAAGAAAATTGTTAGCATTTTCCTTGTTGCATTTACCACACTTGCGGCCGCTAATTTTGAGCCCTACGAACTAAATGGCGGGCTCATCAGTGCAGTTGCTGGCGATGGATATTCCGTCATGGCCACGGACACAAGGATGATCGGTCCAGGTGGATATCTCCTGTCTTCTCGGAACTATTTGTCGTCTCGAATATGGTCAGTTGATGATACAAGCATAGAGCTCATGAGTGGCATCGAATCTTCGTTTCGATCAGGTGATTCAGACGTTGGTGTTGTTATGGACAATAATAAGCAGACGACGGCACCTGGCATCATCACGATGACGATGAAACATGGTGATACGTTGTTTGGGTCAACCATGATTGGAGCAGCAGGCTGTGCTGCTGATTGCGAAGCCTTGAAACGGGCAATCAGAGCAGATATCAAGAAGTCCACCCAACAAGGACAGCTGTCTTCATCACCTACCGCAGATCAAGTTGCATCGTGTCTGAGCCACACTCTGTACTCGAGAAGAGGGTTCCCATTCTACAGCTTTTGCTGTGTTGCAGGAATGGGTGGCGTCTTTGTATTCGACGCTATTGGATCGTATGAACAAGTGGCAGTGGCCTCGGCAGGTACAGGCCGTGAGAGTCTGCAGCCAATATTGGACCGTAAGTGAACATAATTATTTGTGAATATAAGCCTACGAGCACCTACTGCTGCAAATCACATACAATTGCTTGGAAGTCTCACCAATCAATCAATCTTGTTGTTGTTGTTGTTGTTTTTCAAAAAAAGGAACTTTTCGCTCATCACAATCGGATCGTTGCCGGGTCGACTGCACTGTGGACGAGGCCATTCATGGTTTAGTAAAGGCATATCGTTCAGTATCAGAGCGTGAAATTGGGGTGGGCGACAAGCTACTTCTGCACATAACGGAAAAGCTTGGAGATGCAGTTGAAAGTAAAACATTCGTTTTTCCATTGAAGGAACATTGAAAAAACCTTTGACATTGAACAAACGATGCAAAAACTGTATATTGGAATTGACAATTCTTGTAGATTGTCTACTGTTTTGATGGGGATGGAGAATGAAATAAAATGAAAAGAGTAATGCTGCTCTGTAGAGTCTGACGCAACTCTATGCAAAGTGAAGGATGATTCTCCGCACCTAAAGCTATAGAAGCGGACGCTAAAGACTCAAGGACATATTGTCTTCAAGTATCCTACGCCTATTGACCAACAGTACACAGAGTATCATCTAAACCCGTTAGCTATCACTTATGTTGGATTAGTTTCGTACAGAAATGTAATCACATTCGGAATAACGACTGAAGCACCACTGCGAATACGGTATACTTCTTTGTCAACTATCGTTCGTGCTGCATTCTTTGCCGATACTTGATCGTCCACCGACTTCAACTCCATTTTCCACAAAGACAACTCTAGCCTGGTTGTAGCCTCCATCCGCTCGTACCGAGACAGAACCATCGATGCTTCCTGAAGTAAAGATTGTCTTTCTTCTACTTCATCTTCAGCAAGAATCGCATACACACAAATCGACATATCTACTTTCCACGCTTCCAATCCATTCCAACTCGATATAGAACCCACCAACCATCCTTGAAGTGCCAGGCGAAGCATGTTTCGTGAATCATTAGAAAGACGATTGCTGCTTCGTCGAATCACGTATTCAATGGGCGTCTTTCCATTCACGTCTTTCCATCCAAGCACATGCGGTGGATACGCATCTAGCAGGATTTGCAAAAGATCAAGTCTGCAGTTTGCAGCCGATAACAGAACGTGAAAGGGTGTCATATCGAAAGGATCTAGTACCAAATGATGGCGGACTGATGACTCAATCTCCTGAGCCAGCTCATCTGCTGTTGTCCCCGAGGCGTGGTAACATTTCTTGTGGATCGGGAAACCGTCAAATCGACGCAGCAGGCCATGCAGGATGCCCGTTTCAGCACCATACTGATCTTGAAGAGAAGTGCAGTTTTGAAAGCTAGTGTTGCGTATTCTGGTACTCGCCGGCACCGATGGTGACGGTTCAAGACAGATATTTATTAAAGACTCGCATCCCTCGAACGCATGGTCAAAAATCATCACCATTCTAGGACGATCATCCAATTCCACTGACACCAACTTGAAACATTCGTAAAAAGCCGAGTCACTAATGAAGTCCACCGACTCCGGTAGTGCAACTGATTGCAGATTCTTGCACAAGTAAAAGGCTTCATGGCCCACATATTTGAGTCCACTCTGAAACTGCATAACCCGCAAAGATTCGCATGAGGTGAATGTCTCTGATTCTAAGCGCTCTACAGTTGACGGAATTCGGACTGTTTGCAATTTAAGACATCCTTGAAAGGCCTGCCCTCCAATCTCTCGCAAGCTTCCTTCCTCAATGTTCACTTCCTGCAACGAAGTACATCTATAAAAAGCACTGCTGCCCAACACTTCAAGAGTTCTCGGAATGTCCACTTGTTCCAATTTGACACACTCCATAAAAGCACCACTATCAATCGTTTTCAGTCCCTCTTGCAAGACCACCCTTGCCAAGGATTGGCACCCTGTAAAGGCAGACTCTCCAATGGTTTCCACACTAGAGGGAATGTTGACTTCCGACAATGACTCGCAACCGAAAAAGGCCTTCATTCCAATGACAGTCAACAAACCATCTTCAGCAAAATGAACTTGCGTTAATGACCAACAGTCCTGACAGGCATAATCTTCAATCATGGTCACAGACGGAGGAATTGCAATTTCCAACAAGCTTATACATCCATGGAAAGCAGCCATTCCAATTGTCCTTAGAGCGGATCCATTGAAATCGACGCGCAGGAGGAGCCCGAAGTCGATACAAGTTTCTTTAGGAATACTTTGAACGTGTGGATGAACGAATAAATCCGTCACGTCGTTTGGAATCCTTTCATCCTCGTTTCCAAAGTAGTAATACGATTTTCCAAAGTAGTGATACGACGTCATTCAACTTGAATGTCTTTTGACGAATCTAACTCAAGTAATATACAGCAGAGGTTGCGTGATGTATGCTGTGCCGATGAATGATGCAGTACTGTATGTTATTATTCAACACATCCGCGACTGCTGCTGATGTTTAAGGTGAAAGAAGCCTAGACAAGTACCTTGGGGAATTATCGTATTATTGCTCCATATTGAATATTATTGAAATCAATCCTCTTACCTACTGTAGTGGAAGCAAAGTCATCAAATTGTGATAGTATGCCATGGATAATAATACTAAAATAAGATACTGATTTCCTGTAAAGCTAGCCAGAGATATCCGAGGGGTGGCAAGCCAATAACAAGAAACAACGATGCACTGCTGGTGCCTGGCTGGATATGACATCACGACGAGACGAGCGGCCTGTCATGCCTGCTGGTGCTGTACTCTAAAGAAAAGTTTGCATCGCCTCGTACATGGCTTCCTGCTTATTTTCGTCGCAATACTGTTTACCACCCGGAGTATTGTTTTGATCATCGAGGACTGGGCCTGTTAGATTTTTGGCCGATGCAATAAAGGCGCCGCTCCTTGTGACTGCGTCAATGTACCGCGTGGCTGCCACAGGGACCGAGCGCATGATTCCCAACCAGCCAATGATTGTGGTAGCTACAGGCATTATCTTGCGCACAATCCAGGAAACAGAATCGTGTTGCACCAATGATGTGCCCTTGCCCCCCCCCTGGCGAGACTGTCAAGACGAAATAATTCGGATTGCGACGAGCCCATGCCGCAAAAAACAAGGCGCCTGTGCCTTTGGCTTCACCGACAACCTGTTTCGAATCGAAGTTTTTACCCTTGTAGATTAGGTTCTTGTAAAATTCGGCACTGTCACCCATTTTGGGGGCCTTCACTCCCAGGAGAGGCCATGGATCCTAGAGTTTTGTTGGAATGAATCCGTTCGTTGACGAATTCAAATCGAGAGTTTCAACATAACTTACTTACGAATTTGAGGGTTGATACTAGGACAGTATCTACATCTCACGGCGGTACTATCATTCATCATTCGTTCATCAATCTTCGTCGACTGTACACCTCGTGTGATGTGTGAAGGCCTCATCTGGCATCAGCCCGTTGTACTGCAACCGCTCCGCACCAGATCGGCTCCGAAGATTTTTAAGAGAGCTGACGGAGCTGTCCTATTTGTGGGGCCTTTTCCATGAAAAGAACTGCCAGCATGGTACTGGAAAAAAATTAATGGTATTGTTCGACGTTGTTCGTCGAACTTCATCGAACTTCATCTCCCTTTTTTTAATAAAAAGGAAAATCCTTTTTTATTAAAACCAAATTGATATTATAATAACAAATCCGGCAATATCCATCGTCTTGAGATTATGAACATGGATAGCAGCAACAAGACTAGCTTGGTCATTGTGGGAGCAACAGGCCTTGTCGGGACGGAACTCATTCGTATTCTGGATAAGACAAAATACCGGATTACCATTGTGGGCCGGTCTCGTGAGAAGCTGGAACGAACATTTCCTCATGGTGACGGTGTTGAAGACTACATGACCTGGGACGATTTTGAAAAGGCTGATGCGAAGAATTGGCATGTCATTCTCAATTTGGCAGGTGCCAGTGTCTCTGGAACACCCTGGACCGATGCCTACAAACAAACCATGATCTATAGCCGCCTCAACGCTACCAACATGTGCGTCAAGAAATGTGGCAGCAGCACACAGCACAAGATAAGATTGATCAACGCTTCTGCTGTCAGCGCATATGGATTTTATACCAAGCCTTTTCATCGCTTCACGGAAAAGGATCGGGATCGTCGGGACACAAGCTCACCACCAACTTTTTTGCAGGATTTGATTGATCAGTGGGAGGAAGCAGCCTTCAAGGCTGAAGCCTTCGGTAGTCCCGTAACGGTCCTGCGGACAGGTGTTGTGTTGGATATGAAAGAAGGTGCGTTGATGGAGATGATCAAACCGTTTCGCATGTTTGTCGGTGGCAGGATTGGGACCGGTCGACAAATGATGTCCTGGATCAGCACTGAAGACGTTGCTCAGATCTTGGCCTTTTTGCTGGTCCATCCTGAGATTTCGGGTCCTGTGAATTTGACAGCGCCCAATGCTGTCACCCAGCGTTCTTTTGCCACGGCTATTGGAAAGGCTTTGGGTCGGCCAAGCTTTTTCTGGACACCTGCATTTGTTATTAAACTCGCCATGGGCCAAATGGGCGATGAGCTTGTTGTCAAAGGTCAACATGTGTACCCTGAAAAGTTGCTAGAGGCCGGTTACAAGTTCAAGCATGCA